TTTTGTGCCTCACGAAGGGTGTGGTATGCCTCGACATTCGCACAATCGCCCTCCCCTCTCAGCCAACCGCTATGAGCTTCCGAGAACCTTCGCCTGAAACTCCATCCCCGCCTACGTTCTACTACTGTCGCTCGCACGTCCAACTCGCTGCCTTACGAACACAAACGAGAACCGAGTTCTGTGTGTGTGTTTTGTTGCTGCTTTGCTTGTGATTTTATTTTTCAGGGCGGTATGGTGCACCGGGACTCGATGGGGCTGAAGCAGCGCTACGGCGCGAACGCGGTGCAGTGGATGAGCGCCGGAAGGGGTATCCTTCATGAGGAGATGTGGGACATCAAGGACAAGTGGGAGAAGGCCGACATGGAGCTATACCAGATCTGGGTACGCTCCCCTCTCTCTCGTGTCTGTTGCCGTGCTCGTCTTCTTTTTTTTTTTTGTTTTTTTTTACTCCTGGCCTTGACATTTAGTTTGTTCCCGAGATTGGCGTCGATTTGTCTGTCGCTTATCCCAATTATTTGGACGTCATTGTTTGCACCTTTCGGTACAATCTTCTGGACGCACCACCCGGGGTCACACAGGAGTTTTTTTCTCCACCTTCATTCTTAATTTTTGTTAGTTTTGGGTCTTGTTGCTGCTGCTGTCGTTGTTGTGCATTGGCGGATGGTTTCGAACCCAATGAACGCCCCTTTGCGTTTGCCGCTTCCGCTTCTCGAGGGGTTCTTGGTCCTCGGTCGCACGACCACGGAAACCCACGAAAACCGCCGTCCTCAGTCTCGGCGCTCACCCCACTTTTTTTTTTTTTTTTGTTACGTCCGACCAGGTGCAGGGAAAACGGCCATCCTTTTTTCCGGCGCTCACCCCACACGGTAATTTTCCATCCGTAATTTTTTTCGTTTTTTTTCGTTTTTTTTTTTATTGTACGTCCGACTAGGTGAACCTCCCGAGCTCCCTCAAGATGACGAGGCCGCGTATTCAGCTGGCGGGAGAGGGAACGGGGTCTCCCCTCCCGGTGGCGAAGCCTTCCAAGGGAACCGAGGTCATCGTCGTGGCTGGAGAGGTGAGTACTGGCAAGCGTGTGCGAATGAATGAGCCTTGTGGGGGCTGTGTGACCCGAAGAAGTTTTTTTTATTTCACTGCTGGGATCGGTGGAGGGGGGGGATGCTCTAGAGTCCCCATAGGCTGGAACGCCACGCAGTACTGCTGTGTCTATGGCGTTCAGCACTGTTGTGGCCACGTGGTAGATGTCGAGGCGTACTCCCCGTGTCTTTCCCAGCAGTTAGCGCCTGCTCTTAGTTTGCCCGAGGCTCGTTTTTTTGTTTGCCTATGGACTGTCCCCACGGCGACGATGATGAGTGTATTCACTTCTTGACTAAGGATCTGTTCTCGTGGTCAAGTCCTTTTGTTTTGGAAATTTATTTTGAGCTGCTCAAGTTCTTAGTTACCAAGTTCTCAAGCGCGGTCCCTACCTGTACCCCCGTCGCGCTCCCGCCAGTTATGCAATGAGACGTCTCCCGTGGAGACCATGCAGCCCCTGTCGATGCTGCACGTGAAGATGGAGGTCGGGGCCGAGCCGTGGGCGCACCACGTGCCCTGGGGCCACCACTGCCTCATCTACGTGCGGCGCGGGGACCTGACTATCGTCCCCACCGAGGAGGGCTACTACGAGGGAGACGAGGACCGAGAACCGCAGGTGATGTGTGTGTGTGTGTGTGTGTGTTTGTGTGTCTTTTGTTGTTAGCATCGACCGCGCTAACCAGCTGACCAGTGAAAATACGCCAGTCTCAGTGCGGTTGAAAGCACAAATGTGTGTTGTTGTTGTTGTTGTTGTTGTTGTTGTTGTTGTTGTTGTTGTTGTCTTCAACTCAAGTCTTGTTGGTGCATGTGTCTTGTTCTTTGTCTGAGACGGTGATGTGTTGTTGGTGCATGTGTCTTGTTCTTTGTGTGAGACGGTGATGTGTTGTTGGTGCATGTGTCTTGTTCTTTGTGTGAGACGGTGATGTGATGCCGGTGCGTACTTCTTGTTGTGTGAGACGGCAATGTTTGTCTCCAGGTTCTGTCTGCGCTAAAGGCTCATCTTCTCTCGAGCCCAGTAGCCGTTGCGAGGATGTTGAACTAGGCTGGGGGTGAGGGAGGGATCGGGATTCGAACCCCCCCTATCAATTCCATAGACCAATAGTAGTGAAATCCTCACAAGGGCGGTCCCTCGAGCCTGGTGTGTTCTCTCCACACGCCACACATGGACGAAAGAACATGAGCCTGTAGCGCTGAGCCTGGAGACTTTTTATGGTGGCTTTCACTCTTGCCGGGATTTGTACCATCGTATGGATTACCGCAGGTCGTTTTTGGGCGGTCTTGACTTCAGAATGTTGTTCTCGCGGCTCCCGGTCGCATGCTCTGTGGTAGTTGCAGTCGATTTGTTTTTTTATGGTGTTGGTTGCTGTTGTCGGCTCGACCGCAGTAGTCAATGAGAAATGCAAATCGGCAATGGTTAGGGCCCGCGATGCTGTGATAGCATGTAGTCGTCCGAGGGTATAGGAGTATGCATCACACAATTCACGATGAGCAGAGTTTTTCCCCTGCGCCACCCCCTCGCCTTCACATACTCACCCTCCCCTGCCCCCCCGCCAGTGCGCTCCGTCTCGAGAGGGATGCAGTATGTGGCCATCGTTTGTTAAGTTCCTCAAGAAAACGGCAAACGTGCATGCCTTCGCCGCCCTGCAAGTGGCCCTGTCCTGGAGTATAAATCATGTGCCCAATCTCACTGAGGCACTGCTGTAGTCGTCAATGGTCTCAGAAGATACCAGGTGTTGATGAATGATACGCGAGACACCTGACGAGTACCCCCCCAAAAAAAAAACAATAATCATCTTGTCTCCGCAACAGCTTGTTTCTACCGCTACCGCCGTCTCATTGGAGGACGACGGCGACTACGCGAGGTTCGAGAACAGGGGGAAAGAAGATCTCGACTTCATGCTCATCGAGGCCGAGCCGACGCGGGAGAGCATCGCAACGCGGGTAAGCGGGAATTGTCTGTCCATGCGTCTGTATACCAGCAAAATCCTCGTACAGGGTCTTCACTGCAAAAAAAAATGCGGCCGACCTCACGGCTTGTGATGTGTTTTCCCCATCTCGCTGCTTGTGCGTTTGTGGTGATGTTAGAGGTTGATGCGGTAGTTATCGGTCATACTCCATTGGCGCAACAAGGTGCTGGACCCGTTTTTTTTTTTTTTTACAGTCCGTGAAAAGAGAACATATTTTGCGCAATCTCTTTCTTCTTTTCCCCACTCGTTTTGCATCCCGTACATGCAGCGGTTTTCGTTAATTGTCGGCAAACTCTACTCCGGTTGATTCGATCCTCCTCTGCTTGTTGTTGCTCTCTCTTTCACGCCCATACATTCGTTGGTGGGAATATTGAAGGGCTCGATGGTGATGAACACGGAGAAGGAGTGCGACAAGGCTTACAGAGACTTCAGCGAAGGGTTCTTCGGGGTACCGTGGGACAACCGCCTCAACGACGACGAATGGAGAGAGGTGAGTGGAATTTCTGAAGATAGTTATAGCTCGATCGAGAGCGAGAGATCATCGAGAGCAAGGAGTAAGAAATCGTCGCACGTTTGTTGTTGTTTTCGGCGGGTGGTTTGGTATGACGATTATCACGTCTTTTGCAGGCCAAGGCAGGGCACTTTCTTGTTCACAGGGCCCCCTGTGTGTTGGAAGAGAGACAGACACAGACACACAGAGAGAGAGAGAGAGACAGACAGACAGACAGACAGAGAGAGAGAGAGAGAGAGAGAGAGAGAGAGAGAGAGAGAGAGGCAGGCAGACAGATTGACATAGAGTGGCGGAAGCTCTCTCAAACATTCAGTCGACGCCGGCGACGCATGGCACTGGCCCATGCTGTACTCCAAGCTAGCGCTGAAACATCTGGTAGCACGTTCGTCGCCCGGTGCAACTCCAACAAACGTTTTTCACCAGGTGGGCTTGCAATTCGCTTACGAATCATCCCGCCCGCTCTCTCTCGCCCCCCCCCCCCCCCGGATTTTCCCTTCGGCTCCCCCGT